GAATATTAGATATTGTCTGAGAATTTACTATATAAACAGAATATATAATTGAAAATTTTTATATATTATGTAATTAGTAAACATCAATTGTTCTCCATTATAAGAGAAAAACTATAAAATACACAAGAAATATTTTGAAAGTACAACTGTGTGATATACACTAGTTTCTAATTAGTAGTATGAGAAATCTCTATCACAAGTTTACCTCAATCTAATTCATCACGTTTCTGTTAAAACTTATGATGATTTCTGTAAGAGAAAATCCTTGACACACCTGTTTATACAAATAGAAATGAGAGATTATAGTATATTTGATTATGTGGATACGCGTACATAGAATTCATACAGCTGTTAAAAACTTATCCAGTTGAATGCGCACAACAACTACCACGATTAGAACTATGATGAAAGATGGAAAATAAATAAATTTCTTTTTGTCGAAGAAGAGATATGATATAAGAACTAATCATTATTCGATGATGTGAGAGAGAAAGAAAGAAATCTGACTGTTTCCAGATAGATAGATAGATGCAGTTTTTTTTTTTTGGTAACGTTGACACGTTTTTCATAATAATTTGTTATTGATTTTTATAGTTCATGATCATAGTTATACACATAGGAAAAAAACAATTAGCTTTTTATAATTATGAAGTTGTAACACGTTGAGATACAAACATATTCATCTATCAAGAACTTTGTTACTATTCAAAGGCTCATAATTTTGATTGTTATCATGTTAAAGTAAGTTTTTGAAAGCATTAACATTCCAAATTTATAATTGCATATCTGCAAATACTTCTTGGCGATTAAATGGAAAATTAGATCTTAATCATAGCACATAGATATAGTGAATGAGGCTTATCTGCGAATACATACATAAACAAAATTTGTTATATATATATATATATATAATTATAGAAATTAATTGGTCTTCGCATTCACTATGAAAGATTTTTTGATAAGTAAGAAGAATATCTGTTTGGAAAAAATATGCTAATAGTCTGAAAAAAAAGAAAAGAGATTAGAATCACTATGTGTTCAATTTCCGCTTTCACACTAAATGTCACATAGAAATAGAAGATAACGGTCTGTTTACGTGAATGAGATGATGAACAGATACGGAAAATAGTTTAGTCTATGTATACACGTTCAGACTAAATCTGTGTAAAATAATAACTGAATTAATGGACAAAAAGTCTCGCAGAGAGTATATTGTATGTACGAACTGCTTTGTAAACGCATAAAACAATAACAATGATTTGCTAATACTTTGAAATTATGTGTGTGAATTTAGTTTGAGTAATATCAATCGATTAAAAAATTTCAAACTCATTTGAGTACATTGTTATCATTATATCTCTTATTTGTATTGTTTCTTCACTAAAATATAAATAACTTGTAATTGTTATTAGAAGAGAAATCAATTTTTTTTCTTGCATTAAAATGGACTTCTGAATGTCAGCTATCAATGGTATAAATTTCAGATTTTTGCGTTTTATTGGTAAAAAGCTTCTTACATTCTTTACAATGAAAACTTTTTCAAATAGAACTGAATGGTAATTTCTTGTGCCCTTTATTATGCGTAAGTCTCTTAATTGGTGCGATGTATTATACTCGTACGTGCTGTAATAGATGTTGGTGTTCTTATTCTTATTACATAACACTGTTGTTTATTTACTTTTTGACATGTCTAAATCTTTTATATCTACTTTAATATATGTGTGCAATTTTGACAATATTAAACGTAAATGAATGAGTTCAGTGTGAACTTTCAACAATCAGCTGTATTTTATGTTTAGTCTATTTCTCTTCCTTCGTTCTTCTATCATAATCATTCTGTGTTTTTGTACATATCAAACTCTATGTTCTTCAAATGATATCAATCTTTTATTTTGGCACTCTTTTCTTTGTAAAAAAAGAATAAAAGTATCCTCTCGATTTCGTTTGTGCCAATAATATGGTTTTGAAATAGTATCAGCTATTTCTTTTTTTTTTGGAAGAAAAAAAGATTCGAAGATTAAAATTATACAGTTTTCGATATGTGTATACTTTTGTTTCCCGAGCTCTAGTCACATTATGTTTGATATATAAATAAAAAGTCTCTCTCTTTCTCTCTCTCTTTCTTTTTTCTTTTTTCTTTTCTTGTTGCATATGACATAATACTCAAGAGCCGAAGATCAAATTTCAAAATGAACATTTTTAAATAAACATCTACCTGTTGTGAGTGTGCATATAGTTAGTTCTATTTCACAATATTTTTAAATTTATATGCATGCATTATCATAAAAATCAAAATATGAAAAACAAAGGTAATAAGACAATTTTTTCGACAATCTTAAATGTACTAGTGTTTTATATTAGCTATCCTTAATACCGTGACAAAGTCAAACTGACATAGTTTAAATAGTAATTGGCATTTCAACTTTTCTACTTTACTTGTTTGCGCTGAAAATGTTATGTTTTAAACTATTAATATGTTATTTAATAGTTTAAAATATAACGTATATCTTTGTTTCTAACAATAAGTAATTTTTGTGATTACCTCAAAGGAGTCTAGTTTATAATTTGGTGTCCTTTCCTGAGGATAAATCAACGCAACTGATCTAACTCAACAAACACTAGTATTAAATGAAGTAAGATGTTGATGTCTAGTTATGGAGTTGACCTCTCTAAGTCTATTGAGTGGACATACTAATGAATAAGGTATAATGCATGCTTATTGTATGTTATTTTGTTTTATTTTATATATGTGTGGCACAATGCAATATTGACATTGTATTCGTTCACATGAATATTAGATGTATGATAATGATCCGAGTATAGACCAGGAGTCATGTACACAATCATTTCAGACTTTTTCATGTTTTTGTTTTCGAAATCCTCATCGAGAGTAAAGATATGCAACCCTCATAGACTCACATATCATTTTTTGAAAGCTCATACTCTGAAGGGCAAGAATCTGTCATCAGAATATCTTAGATTAATGCATTTTTAATGCTTATAGGAGTATAATATTTTAGATAGATCTGAAACTATACAACAAACAAAAATTTTTTAGAGCCATTATTAAATAATTTGTCAAACACACGTTTTTATTAGCGATCAAACCTCATGAATTTGTGCTTTAAATTTCTATTAAGAATAGTTTTAATATTGTGAAACTTGATTGTCTGTTTAATACTAGCATTCTTAAATAATCACAACAATAACTGATTTTTGAACTTGTTTTTAACAATTTCATAAAAAATAAGTGCCTGAAAAAACCAAGTATTCGTATACTTAAAACATTATTCCTGCCGTTAGAATACGGTATTTCGAAAAGTTTCAAAGATTTGAAAGTGTGTCGTATCTGTTTGACCTAATTTTTCTTCATATCGATAGTGAGTCAGATTACATTTATAGTTTAGAACAGCTAATAGTCATTTGTTGATCATAAAAGTTTCAGAAATAATGTATTCTGATGGCAACTACTCTAATGGCAGAAATAATATGGCAGTATTAAGTAGACGAATACTTGTTTTTGCAGGATGTTGTTTTCTATAAAATCGTTAAAAACAAGTTCAAAGAGTAGTTTTTCCATTGAAAATGTTTTAATTTGAGTACTACTTGAATGATGAATATATCGAAATCGAATGACAAAGGTATTTTTTTCTATAAATCTTTAGTTCTTAATTTACTGAGCCTATAAAAACGATTTTTGCGTGTATCAAAAGAATTTCAAGGTACTCTGATGACGGATTTTTGTTCATCTGAGTCTAGACTTGCAAATGGTGATATGAGAATCAGTCTTGCTGGAGTGCAGTCTTTTAATCTTAGTTGACAAAGTACTTTGAATGTGCATAGTTTATATTAACTTGTTTTTAATGACATGCAATTAATCGAGTCTATGGTTATAACTGTCTTAATAACCATGCTGTGAGACAATGAAATATGAACTTTACATACAATGAAGTTAGTTCTGTTTCGAACACGCATACACACGCACACATATATATATACATATATATATAAGGTTAATTTCTAATCACCTTTCACTGTTCTTACACGTTATTAATTGTTTTTTGTTCTCATGAATATTTTTATTTTAACTTATAAGAATATATTGAAGGACAACTTTAGACTAGTTTCTAAACATATTCTTTCTAGTGTTATCTGGCAGATGGTGATTGCTATTTTACAATTTTATTTTTCATCACTCTGAAGAATAAGTCAGTCATATGGAGGATCGTTTCTACCAATTTATAGTATATCTCTTATCGTTAATATAAAACATCGCTGTTACTTTTAACGTTATATGATGCATTTGTGACATTTATTTGGATAAGTATGATTACCATTTAATTACATCATATTCCCCATAAACAGTAAGAAATGGAGTTTCACTTTAATAGTTAATATATCGATTCATATATATTAGTGCTATAAATCACTTTAATATTGCTCCGAGAGTTCTTCCACGCTGGATCTGAAACATATACATTACTAAAAAAGAAAAAGAAGAAATAGCACTTATGTAGTGCGACGCAAAGCATTTCTTATACTAGTCATCATTGTTCAATATAAAACTAGAAGCAATGATACTGATTTCGAAGAATTTGGTCAAGTGGCTTGTTGATTCGATAAAAGGTGGCCTACTAAGTAAAATGAAAAGAAAAAGAAAATGCAAAGAAAGTTTTATTTTGACAAAAGAGAAAATGTCTAATCATATCGCTTCTGTGTATAACGTAAGACTAAGCTCAATAAAATAATGTCTGCTGTTTGATAAGAGTATAGTAAGTGCCTAATAATAGTAGATAAGCGTTTTTTATACGTTATTTGAATATACATTTGAGGATCTGTGGAAAAACCTATCTTAATACCTTTTTAATGTACAGTCATTCGGTGCGTGATATTGATTATTTTTTGTCGATATTTTGTTGACGTGTGTAAGTGTTTTAACGCCAGATATGCATACACGAAATAAACAGCGGTACTGATTTTCTCTTTATCATTTAGCTTGGATGAGTGTTGATTCTCTTCCAACAACAGTATCCAAAAGTGTTAATTCAAAACAATTATCTGCTAATTATTCCAAATATAATACATCGCTGTGTAATATGCGTTCAAATACAAATGGTCAGAATGATATTAAACAATTGGTTAACGATACACGAATATCACCACAAACAAATTCAAGTGGCTATCACAGTGATTTATCATGTTTATCATCGGCGAACGAATCTCCGCAATTAGATGTTCAGTCAGAGACAAATAATAGATGCGCGTCTTTAGCAATAAATTCAACGGTCAGAGAGAAAAGTGCTACTATTTGTCAAACCAAAGATGTTGTATGTGCTCATCATGATAAACAGGAATCGAATAATATTACTTCCAATAAATCTCGATTACATAGTTTTCTTCGACGACAATATCAGAAGGCAAAACAGAAACTATCGACAAAATCATCAAGTATAAAAAAATCATCATCAGATGTGACAACAACAACTCCTATCGCCGCAACTTCAACATTATCATCAAATATCACGGACACTTCATTTGATACTAGTTATAATAGCGGCAATATTAGTAATAATCAGAAAAAACAACCAAAACAATACTTTACATCCGTTTATCAACATTCTGCTTGTAATGAACCGGTAGGTTCGATTTAATTATGTTAGGCTAAATACATTTGACAAAATAAGAGGCAGACAAATATACGTGTCTAGAAACTGGAAGCTTTCCTATTTTGTATAAAGTTTAGGTGTTGATAATTTGATCAATAATTGATACAGTAATTTCTTCCACACACCGCAGACAGGGCCTCCATGAATCAACTTATACTAATGTTATTTTATTTTGCATTCAGGTATACTCTATGTACATCCATCCAACTCATCAACTAGTGTCCAAAAGTGATTATATTCCGATACACGAGTGTTATTCAACATCATCACAACAACCTTATTATTCGGCTAAAAATTACACTCCTCTATCAACAGCGAAAATTTCCAATTATGAATATTTACACAATTCAAAAAATTATTCGTTTTTAAATAACGGTCATAAAATGCCATCATGGTCAGGAATGGGTCAGCTCGCTAAACATACAAATAATTACTATTATCCATATACTGATAATTTTCAACAACATCGTAACTATCCAGTTCACCAACAACAAATCGGTGGTACACCCACTCATTCGATGTATTCCCATTATTCTCAATTACTGGCACCCTATCCGCAAACAATACCCAATCTAATTTTACGTGCACCTCATCCAAGACAATATCAATATACAAATGATAATTATGAATACGTTTATAAGCGTGTTCTACCTCCATTATCCGATAAATATTATCAAAATTATATCCCAATAAGTGAATGTTCACAACAATTGAGAAATGGTGAAGATGATGGAAAAAGTGCATTTAAACCTCTACGACGAAATATACCGATAAAATTAGCGATACCATCGACAACAAATTTAATCAGTGATGATCTTATTAATGATAAACTATGTGATTTAGAAGTTGCCAAATATTTTAAAGATAATCCGAATTATTTTGATATTTATAATGAATCAACAAATCATTGTTCATATTCAAAAACAAATAAACAATTAAGTCAAAATTATGCGGAAACATTATGTTAATTAAATTTTATACCGTTGAGCAACTTTGTGTGTGTCAAAATTTTTATTTTTTGTTTATATATTTTTTTCGAACTGTTCTCAGTTAAATGTTAGAATGATGAAATAGAAATTACCAATGTACAAGAATGACTCGACAATATACTTTGACTGGACATTTTATCTAAACAAAGAGTATCTTATATTCGATAAAGTATGTAAAATAACAGCGTATTCACAAAACTTCACTATGTATCAGCATCTTTTGACCTACTTTGAAATAAATCGATAACTTACTTTCAATAAATTAGAATTTGAGCAATATTGTACAGAATATTTGCTCAACGACAGTGGACTGTCACCTTATGATGGTAAATAATTTTAGCTTTGACGTTTTTATTAGTTGATGTTTATAATAGTTCATTGCTAGAGTTAAGACCTCTCCTATTAGATTGCATAGTTCACTGATGCAAAGAAAATTAGCAGCTACATTTGCACTTAATATGCCATTAAAAATGAAACTGATCGTATTGTAAACCTTTTCCAATAGGACTCTGAAGTTGTTGAGTGCTTTTGTTGGAATTTGTATATGCACCTAACGCAATTGGAGGACATTGCGGAATGACGATGAATAGTTTTACTAAGTAAATTTTTGTTTTACAGCCGCTTTTTCGTTACAGAAAAGGTCAAGTCTTGGAAACTTGGACTAACCCTTACTGCGCACGCACTCCTCGAGATTGTCTTTCTGTAACTTTTTTCTCTATGGATTTATGTCTCAGTAATAAAATGATTGGGAGACGAATGTGGCTCGCGATTTGTTAATGCATTTTTGTAATTTCCAAGTGCATTCGTCGATCCATGCTAAAGATCGCACTTGATGTCAATGTTATTATATGAGCTAATTTGGAATGATCAAGTATTTCATGCGTATAACCAAGTAAAAAGTTAAAAAAATTAAATATCACATCTCTAGATCCTGACAGATTCGTTGTATAACCTACATTCTATCGAAACTATTACTACACGAAATTCCAGGTCAATATCTATCATCCTTCTTGAGATAGAAGATGATGGATTACTTTTGATGAGTGTTTTATGAATCAGTGGTGTTCTAAATGCCATTTTCTCGTTTCTTTATATGACGTTTATTTCAAGTTAATACTTGCTTGGATAATTATAGAGTCTTTATCCTTGATACTCGCATCAATCTTTTCGTTTTATCTTTTTTTTATTCTATGTCTCCTCTTCTACAGAAGCCAAATTAGACCCTGAACTTATTGCGAAAAATCCGTTAACCGAAATTGAATGCTCTACATTTATTAAGTTGAATATCGGACATATGGCTTTCTGACATAGTTTTCCATTCTTTTTTTATATTCAAGCATTTTTCATTGCGTTCGTATTAGAGATGTGCATGGCAGCTATTCATTGAATCCTGGCTCTACGTACGAAAAGCTTTTGAGATATAGCCCTACCCTAAGAGCACCCTTCGCATGTCTAGTTCTCGTCAATAAGCTGTTTTGATAAAGAACTAGCAAAACAACGAAAACAGTCTTATGTTTTATTAAACCTTTGTTCACACTCATGTTCAGAGGAGTGTATAAGAGAGTTTATCTTTACGGTACTTTGTTTCGTGCCTTGTATCGGAATTTTTTGTGTGAGACGATTATTTGTTGCTTTATCGAGAATATATTCGTGCTTTCCAATGAACAACAGTACTCTTTGCATCGCAAAACCGTTTTCAGTATCAGTATTTGATAAATAGATTTTTCAGCTAAGATGGAAAACGTGTAAACCTTACCATTCGTTTACATTTTAAGTTTAGATATAATTAAATGTACTGTGTTTCTTCATCCATAACAAGTTGAAAAACCGAATCCATGCAAATTAAACAATAAGCTTTTACTTCTTTTTCTGTGTTTGCACAGAAGTGTTTTGCACTTTGCGGCAGAATTTTGTCAGAGCCTTCATCCTTGAAACATTAAATGACTTCATAATAAAATGTTTTCCATACAAATACTTATCAAACTTTTTTCATATGTCAGCATCTATAAGCTTGCAAACAGAAATAACGTGGATAGAAAAATTTGCACGACTTTCTCGACCTGAATAGTCATTTTCACTCTAAAATTACGTTCTTTTCCCTCAATATCTATATCGGAGCTTCACAAAACGAGAAAAATCAACATGGCCGTCTCAAAGAGTAAAAAGCAGGAGGATGTGTGCAAATTTAGAAGTAAATTCCGAACATTTTTAAAATGAGAGTAACTTTCCATTTTTCAAAAAATGGGAGTAAAATCTAGCACACGTACGTATAAGTTTAAAATAAAGAATAATGTTAACTTTCTGCATTTTTATTTTAAAAAGGACACAAAAAATACTGTAATTCGATCACATATTTCTTCTATTGCCGTTTTCTCTGAGATCCGGAGACTTCTGACAGTAAAAATTTGAGCTCGAAATATTGAGTTTTTCAAGAGTTATCCTAACATTAAGGGTCAAAAAGCAGGTGTTTGTGTATAAAAGATTTCTCTAATTCTAATGATATAGACTTCGGATTGGTGTCAAAATATAGTCAAGACTTGCCGCTATAACTTAACAGAGTTCAAGTTTTGAAATTTATGTTGTTTTTTTTCTTTCGAGAGTTTTCTTTTGAAAAGTCGAAAAAAGTTACGACTAATTTTTTGGAAAACTTTATTTTTCTCAAAAATTAAACCGAAAATAAAAAAATCCGGTCCTGTCAAGTTGTAGAGTTGGGTTTTCGCTTCATTTTAAAGCCTCCTAGAGCTTTCTAGCATTTAAAATAGCAGAGAAATCTTCTGCGCACAAACAGCTAAAAACGCAAAACAAGTTTTAACTTTAAAATTTAAGTTTTTTCATCATAGGTTATCGACTATGGCGAATCGAATGAACACATGCAGAGACATGTGCTGTGTAACTTCTGTATGATCCACAAAGAGTTTATGCTAATTTATGCTATCTGTATAGATGTTGCATAAGTTCAAGAATAGTTTGGTAAAATCTAAACGATTTTGAAGGCCGGTCGAACCTGGTATACTCCTTACACTGATGACACAGCCACGGAAAATTAGTTAGCTTACAAGGAAAGGTTCTCGAGTACCATCTCGAATTTTCCAAAGGACAAGTTTTCACATAACTATAAAAATTTTAGTGTTTTATCCAGTCAAAATTGGGATCAATCAGGTATTTTTTCCATTGAAAGCCTAAAAGTCAATGAGAACTTGTTCACAGGGGTTATTTGATATGCTCTACAATCTGGCACTATCAAAATTTGTTCAGACGAAGATTTACTATGGATGCCTGAAGACACCGAATTTGAACTGAGGTTCTAAAACCTCTTACTTCCTTCCTGTGGTACGCAGGACAAGTGAAACCACATGAAAACATAGCTTATCGACCATCCTGATCATCACGGTGATGTCTGTTTTGTTCTTAAGTAGATAGCCAGGCTTGATCATAAAATCGTTTTTTGCGATCCTCAAATGGAGAATGCGGACTTATGCCACTGGACACGGTCAGAAAGAAAACAGACATGACCGTGATGATCAGGGTAGTCGATAAGCTATTTTTCCATGTGGTTTCATTTGTCCTGCGTGCCACAGGAAGGAAGTAAGAGGCTATTCGGAAAATGAGCACCACCGAGTTTCTCTATAAGCTGTAGTTTTCGGATCTGCGTCAATTTGTAGTAAAGTGATCGGACTAGCTCTTCCAAGTATTAAATCTAAATATTTATGTTTTCTATTTTTTAGATTGATAGTTTTCTTAAGTACAACTGGAAAACTACCTCGGGTCGGGATCGGAAGCTCACAACCATATACCTTTAAGTGCATGCTGTCTACTATCAAATAACGAAATGATAAAATTTTTAGAACTTTCGTGTTTAGTCATCACAGAAGAGCTTCTAAGAGCCGTCGACTTTCAGTCAAAACCCTTGGAAAACCTTCAGATTTTTGAGCTTTTCCAAAACAAAAACTGCTTTTAACTAGCTAAAAGTGAACTCTGCCGAGTGAGCTTGTGTAAAAGATCAAATGATAAGCGAATATCTTTAATTGCAATATTTCCGAAAGCCCTCTGTTCAAAAGCCCTGTTTTCCAGAAGTCCATTATGAAAGTAAAAATCAAAGCAGATCGATATCGCCAATGCAATCAGCATATCTGAAAATCTTCAGGTTCTGAGATTCAGCCTGAAATCTTAATTTCAGTAGACTGTATCCCAATTTTTCTTGTATTGGAAAGACGCTCATTGAAGCAGTTACTCCTGCACAGATAAATTATGTGCACAAATACACTGTTTCTTTCAATAATAGCTTATAAAAAGTTCTTTCCAATTTGCAAAAATATGAAAAAATCGTCCTCTGAAGAAGAGGGAGGGTGAATGCTACTTGTGAAGCAGCTTTCAATCACAATAAAGGTATAAACAGTATTTAAAGCACTATTTTCTGAAAGTACGCATTCGATAGTACATAAACCCGTCGGAAATGGAAAATCGAAAAAATTGTCAAAAAACGCCCTCTGAAGTTAGCGACAACGACCTTAAGGATACTTGCAAAAAAATAGAAGTTCTCACTCAGCATCAATGTAGTCCATTCCGGCCCATTCTGGTTCATTCCAGCCCATTTCTACCCATTCTACCATTCCAAAAACGCTTTTCCCCCTTGTACAGAGCCCATATATCCACGTGTATTTACTCTCTCAAAAGTCTGAAAAAAGCTCACGTTCGATTTTTCGACAAATGTTAGCCTGGATACCCACTGTGTGTTCTAGTTGGGACCAGAGTTCTACGGGTTTGAGATTTTCGAACCCGATCCCGATCCGGTCTCGTAGATTTGAAATCCGTCCAGAACCCGAACCCGCTAGAACTTTTTCAGGATCCCGATTTTTTCAAATAAAACCCGTTCCGAACCCACTCGAGCCGAAATATTTTTTTTCTAGTGAAGTAATGCTCTCTTTCATTTTAACATTAGTAAATTTTAACTCGTAGAGGTACAAAAATAAAATTCACTTGGTCGGTTGTACGTCTAGTGCGAAACACCTGTCCGTTTTCCTTATTTTCCATTCTTTCTTATTTATTTAGAATTGTCTCTTATCACCCCCTATATCAAACCAGAAGAATTGGGATCGGAGACAAACCCGATCCCGTTCCTGTTCAGATGAACTGAAACCCGCCCCGAACCCGAACCCGAAAAAAAGCTTTCTATCTTCTTTATATTCTATAATAACGAGTTTCCCAGAACAAATGAGCCTCTCAGTATTTTGCTTATAACTTGGTTTGGATATGTTTCCGAGATTCGATGTTTTCTTTAAAAGATGCGCTGCGAAATACTCTACAGAATCATACCTAAACTATAACTTCAGAATGAGCAAACGAATCTTAAAAATTTTTATATAGATCGATAGCCCTGACTCTCCTCTACTCGGCAAACTAAAAATGCTTTTTCCACCTTTAGAAATGGCTTCAAAAATTCGAAAAGAGTCAACTTGAAATTTTTCGTGTTCTAATTGCGGCATACGACTCTATTAAAAAACGAATACATCGGAAGTATATATATGTCAATGTATGTACGAGTGCACGATATAATCAAAGGAACCGAAATAAAACAAAATAAAATAAATTAGAATTCACTACAGCAGAACGACCACCGACCGACCTAACGGCTGAACGGAAGAGCGGCCAAGCGACCGGCATACATTTTGAAATGCTCCCTAAGCCAATTAGATAAAAATTGAAAAAACTGACAACTTTCCAAGATCAATAATGATTTCTTGTGTTAACGTTTTGAAAATAAGAAAAACTGAATTAGCCATCTTGTAGTCCTGACTTCGGTCTATCTTTTAGCTACAATTCAAATTTTTTCACATAAAAAGCCACGGTGAAACAGTAGTTTTTCTGTCGGTTGTCATGCATTTTTTCATTAATTTTTAAATTTTGGGTATAGTAGTGCTTTCAGTAAAATAAATAAAAATCCACGGAAATAAAAGCTTTTTCGGTCAGGTTTGTGTTGTTCTGATCAGAAATGATTGCTCTTCTCTATCTAACTGCAAAACCAAAACTTTAATCATGTTTTCCGTGTCTTACTTGAGCACATTGTTGGAAACGGGGCGTTTGTCAACTTTTGACGTATTTTTGTAACTTCGTTCGCCAGCACACCATCGGTTCTAAAAAATATTTTTTACAGACCACAAGAAAGAGTACATTTAAACGTACCAAACACAAACTGAGTTCTCACCTTTGCTACCCTTTTTAGCGTAAATAGTAGAAGAAAAAGTTCAAGTCGAAAAACATTTTCAGTTTGGAAAGTTTTCACTTTTTTCGACTTTCATTTAATTGGCTTAGTTTTCTTGATTGAAGTTTTGAAGTTATAGTTTAGGTATGATTCTGTAGAGTATTTCGCAGCGCATTCTTTTAAAACAAACATCGAGCCTCGGAAACAAATCCAAACTATTAGCGCAAAATCGACTTTTTATACGGAGAACAGAATCGCTTCTCCGTATAAAAAGTCGATTTTGCGCTAATGCAAGTTACAAGCAAAATACTGAGAGGCTCATTTATTCTGGGACACCCGTTAGGATTATATATGATTCTTATCGTAAGGCTAAATGATATTTTTTATCTGATCTTACTATAAGAATCCTATGTAATCGTATTATAAGAATCGTATCAATCCCTGAAATAACTTATGTTTATCACTTTATCTTTTATTGCATATACGTAGATGTCGCCTACATATGGTCTGTAACTCATTCATCGTTTTATTTTGTGTGAAGCGAACTATACAAAATACCGCCGCAAGCTATAAAAAATACCGCAGGTAGTACACTTAATCAGTCTTTTCTAGTAATCTATTCAAGTGTAAACTTGATAATGAATCGTATACAGATAAAAAGTCAGCATGGCTTGGTCAGTCATATTTGCATCTCAATAGGTGAAATAACCTGTTTTACAAAAATCAGTATGAAAAGAAAAAGATAGAAATAAACATACGAATGCGACTGTATAATGAAACATATTCTATGAAATCCTATAAAAATCATACTAGGTCCTTTCAATCATACATAGGATCAGATCATGTTGCTAGTATAGGATCTGATAGTATCGAATTGTAGGCATCCTACAACATTTCTATCGCTAAGATTGCCTATCCGTTTTCTATATGATCCTATCGGATTTTTATAGGATCATACGCGATCCCACAAGATCCTACAATAGGTTCCTATAAGATCCAACTAGAACAGTGTTTTATCTAGGTTTCGTTTTTCAGGTAGACGCCTGAGATTTTTGGAGGGGCTGTTGGCTAAAAACTTTGAGAGTGAAAGTGAGAGAAAAAACACCTTTTTTTACGAAATCAACTGTATAATTTTCGGGTAGACGAATCGAAATTTCGGGTGGGCGCCGCCCATCCGGCCTACACACTAGATAAATCACTGAATTAGGATCCGATTGTAGGATTTATTTAATTACATACGATAATCTTCAGTTCAAACTTGATTTAGCGAAGGCACACGGTATTATATTCTAAATACTAAGTTACATTTTTTTTGCTGCTGAATCAACAGTATTTGTACAAGAAAAAAGCTTCAAAAATATTCCCTAATTATTACAGTGACACGTAACATAACAACGGGACGGAAAACAGTGACATCACAAATAGCAAAATTAGATTAAATCTAACACAAATATATGAATTAATAACTTTAACTGTGATTCCTTGATTCGCGAGTACTTTTTTCAAATTCAGCAACCTTTCTTAAAAACCTTATCATCTTCTTATCTATATTATCTTCACTCTCTTTATACTCACATTTGAAATTAAGATATTATTCCCTGATGATACGCTTCGAAAAAATGGAAACAAAAAGTTTTTTTTTTCTAAAGATTATGCAGTTGCTAGCCATGAAAGTTGTTGTAGCTCATTTAAACGTGGGCGTCGATTTTCATTAAAACTTAAACATAGTTTTAATGTATGCATAGCCTGTTTATCCGTACTACTAACAAACGATAACCAATTTCGTCCATTCATGATTTCACTTTTGGAACGAAAAGGATATTGTTGAAATAATAAAAAATATAAACATATGCCAATGGTCCATACACATGCTGCTTCACCACTATAACGACGTTGAATTATCCATTCTGGAACCATAATTTCCAAAGTACCCTAAGAATATAAAAGAAAATATTATATTATCTTCAAAAATGAAAACAAGAGGTTCTGGTCTATTTAAAAATATTATACGAAAACTTTATTATTTTGATTAAATCAACTCAAATTTTAATCCATTTTATTTTTTAAAGAAAAAGCTATTTAAAAATCGGACTAAAGATACAGAGAGATTTGATTCTCGCTTCCTCTTAAACGTTCAAATTAAGCGTGAAAGTTTTCTGCGTATCACACTCATTCTTTTCTAAAAAATAAAAAATATTAATTATAAATATAAGTGATTTAGAAAAATAAACCAACATAAATCAACGATCTGGTACCCCTAGTACTCAACATCACTCGGATCTACTTTTATCTTCTTGCTGTACAAGATTTTGATGTCATTGCTAAAAAGAACCATGACTTCCTTTCTGTTAGCCATTTCAGACTCTCTCTCTTTCCAACAGTCATTTTCTTTCTCGATTGTCTTTTACCATCAAATTAAGTGACGGTACTATATTATATTTTTTATAATATTCATTCATCTCATTCACTTTTAGTCTCGTTTATCACTGTGATGTTAAACATAAATAAAGATATTGAATTCTCTTTGAATGGACTTTTAGTAGTTGCGATAAAATTAAAGTCAGCCTTACTATAAAATTAGGAGATTGTTGAAGAAACCAATTAGTGTCAATTTCAACCAATCATTCTAGATTGGAAAACCAAACTCTTACATTTTTTGAAAAGAAATAATAACATATAAGCCTCACAGCTATATTACAAAAACAAATGTATGTGCAATTAACAGGTAAAGAAATTAATATGAGCTTAATTGTCTAAAATATGAATATTTCATTTTTGACAATAGAAAGTAGTATGACCTTGAAATTAGTCGACATGACACATACAAATCAAGTGTAAATGAACAATAAAAATAAATACATTAAAATGTCAACAATAGACCTGTCAACTCCTATTTATTTCTTCTCGTTTAATAACACTATCTGATAACGTTTATCTTCTAGTGTAAATCACTCAATTGGCTAAGTTATATTATTGTACTAACGTATAGATGTATATGGGATAAGCAATTAAAATATTGTTATTCTCACTTATTAGAGTAAATTTTAGATACACAACTTTTTATATCATATAGTTTACCTGAAATTCTCCAAAGTCGCCTGACTGCATCGGTGCTGCTGATCCAAAATCGATAAAGCGTAATGATCTGTCATTCATACAAAAGAGAATATTTTCTGGTTTACAATCTCTATGCCATACACCGTACATTTGTAATGTAATATTAATACGTATTATTTCAACTATAATATGTTTCAATAGTTCAGTATTTGCCAATGGTCCATTTTCCATGACATATTCAAAAAGTGTGATACTACTCGGTATTTTCTCCATTATAAATATAAATCGATCTTTCTCTTCAAAATGTTCTAGTATTTTTATTACTCCGGGTACACCTCGTAATCTCCATAATATTTCAATTTCATATGGTACACGTTTCTAAAAGATTAAGCGGCACTTTTCTCAGTACATAATCATTAGAACGAGTTATAGACTTACGCCTTCAAATGATCCCCAGTTAAGAATAGCTGGTTTGGGTAAAAATTTGATAACGACTGATGCATTGTCATATTTTCGTCTTCCTTCGCATACACGACCAAAGCCACCAATGCCTACAATTAATAAACAAGCTCGATTAAAAAAGAAACTTTAGTATTTTAATTAAACTATCTTCTATTTTTCTCTTTATCTTTCTGTAACTAACTTCATTCATGACTTCTAATGAGTTCAAAAATAAATAGAAACTGAAGAAAATCCTTCATTTACCAATGCAACTCAACGTCTCGTAATCACGACTAAATCCCTTTCTCCTTAATGGCTTTGAATAAAAGGATGAAGATGAATAATAATCAGATATATCCAACATATTGCCAATTGCGTTCGATGATATCTAGAGAAGTAATAATAATCATTATTAAGAAGAGTATTGATAATATCAATTAGTTACCAGATGATCAATTCCTGGATATGCGTAATCACGAAAGCTAGCGTCGAATGAAGCGTATGATGATGTTTTCTCTTTTAACCACGGAGACGAATGTAGCCAATGTTCGTCAATAGCTGTTAACCAATCCATGACTTTTCTTTTTTTTTTAAAATCAGTCGGGGATATTCAACGTACTAATATTTCTTTTCCAAATAACAATGTTTCTTTGTTTACTTGTTGCCCTTGGAAGAGAATGACTAAATTATAAGACGCCTAATATGTATTATTATTTATTATTTTCATAAAGTAACCACAAAACGTTTATTTTCGTGCGTATGCACCATGAAGCAAGATAAAAACCTATTGTTCGTCAGCAATATTTTTTATACCAAAAATTTTTCGAAATAAGCGATAGCTACATGTGCGCCACAGCGTTTATCCGTCCGAAACAAAAATGAAAACTATGACGTCAAAAACGATACGATATTGTGTGGTTCGGTAGAGAATGAGAGAAAGAATCATTCACCATTTCATTTACGTAGTATTGAAGATAATTTAAATAAAGCATTTAAGATGGGTGAGAGCGAGGGAGAGAGAGAGAAATCACTGTAAATTGAGGTCAACGACAATGGGAGAGAAATGACCATATGTATAGTTCATGTACCACGGATGAGTGAATGTTTAGTCCAAAGGAGATTATTCAAAATTTAAGTAAATGAAACATACGAGCAATATGATTAAGTACTTTGTTTTCACACAAGTTATAGTAACAATCTTTTTTTATGAATAAAGCAAAACAAATATTTCTCAGATAAAAGATGTGGATGAGATTCTTCTGATGGAGTTGTAAAACTAAGACTGAGAGGAATATAGAAGACAAATGGTTGACTTATTTAGCTGTAGTTCAGATATTTAATACAAAACTTTTTATCCTAATATTCTCGTTTCCAAGAATAAATGATTGCTGCTTATTCTAAACTAAATCGATTATCGTAAACAAACAATAGAATACGACAATATAATATGTATATACATACATATGTGTGTGTATGTGTATTATGAGAAAGTGATCACTGCTGTTGGAAACCTCTAAATTATATGAAATTTCAGCAGGTATGTAAAAAAATTGATTAGAATACTTCGAAATAGCCTCGTATTCTGAATTATCTGATTTTACGTTGATAACGGAAGTGTAAGCCTTCTTTTATAATCTTTCTCTCATTTTCACAGCTTTCAGTTTTCGGGAAAAGAAACGAATGTGAGAGTAAAAAGTTTCTCTACTGTTTACTGTGCTATATTTTGCCTTATAAGCACAGAGAGTGATGATAGCTTTCGCTGAGAAGTCATCATGGTTCGATTATCATCCTGGAGGATATAATCAGACCACATAAATTGTACGCTTTATAATCAAGCATTTTTTGAACAATACATTCATTAAACAGCAATATCAAATCTTAGATATTCAAAAAGCTCTGGAGTCTGAAATGATACAGAGAAATGTTCATATGGATAACAAGTTTGGTGAATTTTGCAAAGTTCTATTAGCGGGCATGATAGAAGCTCACGTTGATACTAGTAATTTATTTTGAAAGTCGATGAGTTTTCAAAATATTCGTACTGTTACTTCTACTTTCAGCCTAAAAGAATAAAGTATAAAAAGGGAAATGTACACTTGCTCCTTCGACAACTTGCTGTCATGAATCGCTGCATGTCGATGCCTGTTAAGATAGATACTCCTCAGACATATGCTCATCTTACACTTTTAATAGAAATACTCGAATAGTTTATAAAATATTTTTATAAAGTAATTAATGTGTCTTATATTTCTGAGTTATTTTTCTACATTTGATGAGAGTTCATAAAGAAAATATTTTTTTGGGAATAGAATAAGGAATAAAAGTGTTTTGATCACCAAATTTATTAGCAGTGAAATGATCACCAAATCCATTAAAGAAGTTTAAATTAAAGAAAATATATTCAAGAAGAATATATAGGAATTTAAATAGAAAATTAATCACTGGACAGTATAAAGAAGAAGAATATATATACAACAAGAAATATGAACAAAGTAGAAAAAACTAATCATCAAACCATTAACGAAAATTTAAATTAAAGAAGAAATGTACAACAAAAATACTACCTTTATAGCAACAAAGCTGTACGAACCTTTTTTGAACGACCTTTACCTTTTCTCTTACCCAACGGTTCACATATTTTGTCCGTCACCTCGTACACGTTGAATACAATGCTTAATCCAACTGAATGTTTGTAGGTGTATTGCTTGAGACCAATTGAACACATACACCGATTTTCGAATGGGTGATGGTAAACGTGTTGTAGGATTGCGTTCTCCTTGTTCGTGTTCATGCTCGTTTCTGGACATGAGCGTCACTGATTGCATTACATTAAACTGTTTTGCGTATTCTTTTGCTTCTTCGGATGATGTAGTTGTTTGTAATACTTTCGACTCTTGCTTCGACATTTTTGTAATGTTACCGTCTATAGTATAGAGCAGGTATTTATAGCTCTTGTGAGTTGACAAAACCAATGAAATTTTAAAAAACTTAACCGTTCACAATACAATTTCGAAAACCGTCAACTGTTGACATATTTCATATATCTTTCATATTTCTGTTCATATATATTCTCTTTATATTCTTTTTCTTGTCTGTCCACTAATTAATTTGCAATTCATTTTCTATTAAATTGCTATATATTCTTCTGGAATATATTTTCTTTTATTTAAACTTCTTTAATTGATTTGATGATCAAAAAAATTGATATCCTAGAATAAATTGTAAAGAATTCTGAAGTAAGATATCAAAATTTTAGCATCAAAATGTCTGCTTTAGAATTCTTTACAATTTATTCTATTTCCAAAAAAATATTTTCTTTATAAACTCTCATCAAATGTAGAAAAATAACTCAGAAATATAAGACACATTAATTACTTTAAAAAAATATTTTATAAACTATTCCAGTGTTCGTATTAAAAATGTCAAGTGAGCAAGCGTTCGTGATCAAATATCCATGCAAACAGCTGTAACTAAAACTTAATAACAGAGTAGTTGAATGATATCAACTCCTTCATGGATGATACAGCATAGATGGACGCATGAGCATTCCATAAGGTTTAAAAAAAAACATACATTCTGTATATGATGTCAATGAATCTGTCGTAAAATTGGCAATGAGTAATTGATGGCAAATATCTTTGATGTATGTAATTTTTCTCGATCATTTTCGCTTCTGAAGTAGAAAATGTTATCTGTGTATCTGTTACGATGTTTTACTAAATTTTTTTCACGTTTACCGTAAGTGGGATGTCTGATCAATTAATAGATAATCATTCATCATACGAGTCTTTTTTCTAAAGTTTTGATCCAATAGAAGTTGTGAATGTTACTTTGTTTGAACAAGAGTGTTTATAATTTTTCTTTCTATTTGCCCCCATACTCATTGAGTTTTGCGTAAAGAATTGAAACTGTTTCAATCAAGAACATGTACTTAGCAGTTATTACAGAAATATCACACCGTACGTATAATCATTTTTCAATTTAATATATTTTGAAGGTTTTTTCACACGGAAAAAATGGAGAACTATGACATTTTTATAATTTCGAATAAAACAAGTACATTTTTTGTACTGTAGTAAACCTTATTCAAGGTGAACGGAAAATACGGTCTTTGCTAGAATATTTTTATTCTTATTCTTACTTGTTGAATTTTTTTAAATAATTCATAGTAATGCATAGCTGCCCAAGCAAATAAAAAGTATCAAGTATTGGACAATCCCACCTAGGTAACACAGTACAATACCTGATATACGTAGGTACAAGTAAAAAGACAGTATTGAGCATTGGGGCTCTCTCCGAATTGAGGCCACTTTTTTGCGCCCGCTCTCACTGTCTGCTTCTCGCTCTCTGATGTGTGTTTGATATCAACTAAGACTTGTGTGTTGATTATAAGACAATTAAGACATTTTATCAAAAAAATGGTCTCAATTCGGAAGCCTCGAGTATTGGACAATCCAAGCTAGTAAACTCAATAAAGTAGTCGACATATCTAAATAATCCAATATCTTACTCGATTCTGGATATTAGATTTACCACTTGTCTAAGTAAGAAATCTTGTGAAAGATCTAGACACAGGTGTCACTTTTATTGGGTTATCCAGATATATTGGGCATAGTATTGCCCAATACCACAATAAATATCTAGATATTTTCATATACGATTTTTTGCTTGGATGTGATTACCTAATCAATTTTCAATTTCAAATGTTCCATTTTCTTCAGTTGAGGATGATTACAGCCAATCCACGTTTTTTTCTAGTGTCTATAGTTCGACTGAGTTTTGGCTTTCTTGACACTGTGGCCAAAGTCTTTGTCCGATCCTTTGTAATTCCGTCACGGCCTATATTTCGACTATAAAATCGTAACGAAAGCATCAAACTCATTGAAACTTTTAGCATTTATAGAGCAATTAGTCTTACATATTGTGCGAAACTTTCAGCTTTGTCCGGTTTGATTTCACTGAGATACCAAAGAGATAAAGCGAAAAAACAAGTTTCCGTCACGCTTGGACTGGTCGATTATTCATTCTGGTTTAAAACTTCTAAATAATTTTAAACGGTATGCGTATCGTCCATCTTGTACAAACTATTTTGTAATACAGTAAAATTTCCAAATAGATTTATACGTAGATGTTAGCAGGTGGTATTGTATATTAAAAGTGATATTGGATGCACAGTAGACGACATGTGTTATATTGATTAATAGCAATTAGCTAACATATTTAATATCAAATTCAACGGCTCGAAAGAGTTTCGGAATGTCTGCCTATAAGAGGAACAGACCCACATTTCGCGATTTCTCCCGAATAAAAATATATCTTCCGGTTATCCTTTTCACAAGAATGGTGTTTTCTAAACTGTTTCTAGTAGACTTTTCAGCCTTTTATTACGTATGATGTCTCTTTAAGTTTCAATGACATTGTAACAACAAATAACGTATTCTGTGTTGTCTTCTTATGTAGGAAGTCCTCATAAGTCCTCATATTTTTAAAATTTGCCTACCTTTAGTTTTTTTTAATAGGCATTCCTGTTGCTCGTCTCGAGATTGTTTGCCAATATATTGCAACATTTTAAGCGAAATTTTCTATTAATTTCTATATTTTATAACTATCTATTTCTTTCTATCAGCTGTATACTAATCAATATTAATAAAATTAATTACTGAAATTCCTTTATGTACTTGGTTCAATAACAACTTAATTTAAAAGAGTCATTTTGTACTCACAAATGTCTGCCTGACCGTTATATTATTTCATAGCCTACAAATGGGATTATCATGTTATTATGACACCACTGGGTATTACTTTATGCACTTATTCAACATATTTTTCTCTGGTAAAAATACTTTTTTTTATACAGAAACTGTCGATTTAGAAGTTATAATAGTAAAATTGCGTTATCTCAAGATGGTTGATTAGTTATTCAATGTGACAAATGTGTTAATACGATAAAACCACCTGTTTCGTGTAACTTGTAAATAAAATAGTGAATGAAACTTATACTGCTTTAATTAGTTATATTAATATTGATTAGTATACAGTTGATAGAAAGAAATAGAAACACTGATAAAATAAATAAAATAATAGAAAATATAAGAGACAAAATGGGAATGGGACGAAACGAGAGCAAATCTCTATCAGATTGATCAGATAAACTACATTACTAATTTTTAAATTTCCATTGACATCTATGTATTCTTATTTATGTTCGAATGTAAGATGTACGATATATCTATGTTTATAATATACATGTTGTGCTATTCGTTAGTATTCGATTCAGAATAGCGTTTATTTCACGTTTTTCTATAAGAAAAACAATTTCTTCCTTAATATATTGGATATATCTATAGACACAAATCACTTAATTATACAATTATAATTATCCTAGTGAATGTACTCAAGGATAAGTACATTCATAGGCGCGCTCACATAGAAAAATGCACCGAGTACTCATCATTACTCATGCGTTTGTGTATCTTATATAGTTACATCTTTGCAAAACAAAAAGGTGAACGAATATGTTCCGAGTAGTATGTTCACGTATATGTATGTTCATGAGTATGTTCACGCACTGACAAATTTTACACTATCTCAGAGACCGTCCAAAAGAAATCGCCCCTCTCTTGACAAAATCCTAGATCGGTCATTGGTTCTGAGTACTCAAACACTCAATAAATACAATTTACTCAGTGAGTACTGTGGTGCGGTATTTTAGGTAAGTCGTACTCACTAGATGAGCACATTCAAAGAATCATATACTTCTACAAGATAAAATAAATCCACAGTTTAATCGTAATTTTGACTATAATCGTCCATAAATTGCGATATGTCGGCGATTTTTAACAACTAGTGATTAATCGGCTTGCATGAAAAATCGCTAGTTGTTTAAAAATTACCGATATATCGCCATGCTGTAATTCTGTAGTTTCCTCAGTGCTGACTCATTGTTTCGATTTAAGTTAGCTTTGAATCGAAGAGCCCAGTTACCTGTTAAATCCAAAACTGGATTATTAATCAGTAAAATCGATAAAAAATCGACGATTTTTTGACGATTAAGCGCAGGACTAATCGCTACAAAACAGTCGATTCTGACTGCATGGGTAAGCAGTATTGTTTTTACGCTTTCAATGCCAAATACAAATGAAGAGAGCAAATCTGTATTTTTCTATGTTTTAGGCAATATGTTTTCATTTTAAGTTCTATCATAGATGTCGCTATAAGTACGAGGTTCTGCTCATTGATATGCATGACAAGAAATATTAGCTGAAATGTTTTATTGTAAATTTCGATTTAGCGTAATTACGACGAAATTTCCAAAAAATGAGTAACATGGAAAGATTATCTGATAAATAGCTGATGATGAAAATGAAAATCATGTTTTTTGAAGATGTCAATATTATACCATTTCAAAACACGATTAATAGAGATAGAGTGGTGTGGGGCGAATCAAGAATAATTTCGCGATCATGCCAGTATTTGTTGAATACCTTTTTTAATCTTAGAGATCTTTTTGCGTGCGTTGGCAGTCATATAGACAAGACTCTCATTGATACACTTGTGAAAAATCGGCTTAAACTGCTTCAAAGTATCGGACTTTCAGGGGTTTTACTGGTTCGCCCCACAGCTTTTCTTGATTCACCCCGCTTGGGGTGATTCAAGAAAACATATAGTTCTGAGTGGGATGAATCAAGAATCCTCGTTAAAATAAACCGTATTTTTAACTTTTGTAAATCCAATGTAAATCCAACTTTTGTATCCAATTATCTTAGGGATAATTAGTACTAATTGAGTAGATTTTCACACCACTGGACTCCTGATCGTCTTAGGAACACATTGAAAGCAAACTCCGAATTGTTCGATGAGAACTGACTGAGATCCGTTTGATGGTTTAAACTAGAGTAATAAAATA